TGTTCTTGTGTTGCTCCTTTCTTTGCCAATCTGTCAGCTCTGTCATTACCTGGTGTGCCGGAGTGACCTGGAATCCACTGCATCACTATTCTGATGTTGTATGAGGTAATAAGCTGATCAGCATCCAGGATTATCTTGATTATCTCCAGAGCTTGAAGGGCAGACATTGAATCTGTGAAGATGACAATATTTTGGACCTTTGAAGGGTAAACATCCAATAAAATTGTTGATAAAGTCCGATCTGGTCGTCCTGTTGAGATTGCAACAGATGCGTCCGAGCAGCTAATGGAGGATATGATTAGAGGTGACAGGCGATTAATGACTGACTCTGTAGCAGCTGCAATAGAGTGCTAACAGGATTCAGCAATAAATAAATGTATAATCGATTGAAATTTAAAAAAGTTTGCTTAAGGTTGGTACCCAGACTATTGACGGTCGAACACAATGTGAAATCATTAGGCATGTTCTTGCAGCATCGGTGTCGATACGCAGATAAAAGAGAAGACATGCTGAACAGGATTATTACTGGGGACAAATCGTGGGTGCATCACTACCAGCCCGTATCAAAGCTTGCTTCACTGCAATAGAAACATCCTTCGTCGCCTTGTGTTAAAGCAATTCAATGTTAAACCATCAGCAAGGAAGGTTTTGCTGACAGTGTTCTGGGATTAACAAGGAGTGCTTTTAATCAATCTAAAACAAAACAAAACAGAGGTGACAATGTGAATGCTGTCTCATACTGTGAAGTTCTATCGATGCTTCATGATGCAATTCGAGGAAAACGTCCAGGACTGCTGACTAGCGGAGTACTGCTCCTTTATGAAAATGCCAGACCACATACGACACGACAAACTCAGGAGAAAAATTAACCATCTAGAGTGGGAAGTGGTGGAAGATCCACCTTACAGCCCCGACTTAGCCCCCTTTGATTTCCACCTCTTTGGTCCTTGCCTTGGCTGGAGACATTTCACGAATGACGCAGAATCTCAATTTGAAGTGAAAATGGGGTTTAAAAAACAGAGCACGCAGTTTTATGCAGCAAGGTTTGAGAGGACCGTTAAAACGATGGGGCAAGTGCATCAGTGTTAGTGGAAATTATTTTCAAAAATAGAGGGACAGTGTGTAAAAATAAACGGTGTTCAAGTTATTATCGTGTTTATTATTTTGTCAAACCATTTATGACTGACTCATTGACTTCTCGAATACTATAATGTCTATTATTTTGCAGACACATTCTTTATTATTTCTTGTACTAAAAACTAAACGACAGTATATTTCTATCATCCGTATATTTAAAGGGCGTATGTTTTTTATAGTTTCCTGAAATGTTATAGACCAATCGTCACTGGGCTGGTGATGTGGTCAGCATCACGCGGGCCGCCTTTACTTCCTGGAACTTTACCTTGTACCCATTTGAGACCTAGGAGCCAATTTCATTTTTGAAAAAAAAAGTCCGGCTTTAAGAAGTCCTGAACCTCGGAATTTCGGATCCACAGTCGAGCGTCTAACCGCTAGACCACAGCGGAGCAGCGGAACTTTCTAAAGTATACAAACAGATTCAAAGTCAACACTCCCTAAACATTACAAATAAAAAGGCACCATTTCAAAATGCGGTAACATTTAAATGGCTGGAAAAAACATTTAACATCTGGATATAGAAAAGAAAGGATTAAGAAAATGAAAAGTAGAGATTGTAAAAGCGACATAACAAGTAGAGTAAGGTAAACACAAAAACTATTGAGCAGTAATTTCCACCGGTAGAGATAAGCGAAAAAGCCATCAAACATTACATGACCTATGGGTTCACGGATGTTTGTTCGTTGGAGATTTCCGCTGCTGGCGCCAAAGTTGATAGCACTTGTGCCAGCAAGGCTAGCGTAAACTGACACAAAAACCCGCTGTAGGCTGTGAAGTGCTGGGAAAATCTCATAGAACAGGCCATGGGTTTTTTTAAATGTGGCTGGCGATCAGCTCTTTTCCGATGGCGTGTTCGGTTTCCCAGATAGCCAGGAGCGAGGGCGGGGGCCTGTAGTTCCTCTGGTGATACCAGAGAAATCCAAGGCCTATATGTTTCAGGCGCGCCGACACCAAGTTAACACTGGGGGAGGGAACTAAACTCACCACTCTGCTTCACCCCTGCCATACAAACTTTCTGGTTGAAAATGGGGAGGGGTGGGCGGAGGAGGTAAATAAAATTAAACGATATTTGAGCATAGACAATGCCATCATCATGTAGCTGGTCCTTTGCAGAACGTCGCTCTCATCACGGTCTGCCTGAAAGAAACTCGGTCTCTCGCCAGCTCTACCGCCTCATGTACTTTGATACTCAAGGAGTCACTTATATCCTGTGCCCATCTTCGTGTCGGTCGGCCCCTGCCCCTCCTTCCTGCTACCATGCCGCTATAATTTTTTCCAATCCATCGTGGCGCTTGATATGACCAAAATATTTCAGCTTCCGAGACAGGATGCTGTTTTTTAGCCAATCTTCTTTGATGTTCAGATCTTTAAAGATGTCAGTATTTCTCCTCTTCTTTGTCTAAGATATTCTGGGAATCTTTCTATAGTAGTTCAGCTCAAAAGCCCCTATTATCTTTCTTAGGGACTAAGAGATAGTCCACGACTCACATACGTATGTAGCTACAGGGAAGATGCATGCTCTCAAAATTCTAATTTTGATCTCCTTGCTGGTGCTTAACCATAGACTTTTAAGGCTGTTCAATCTTTGCATTGCTATGGCCATCTTCCTTTTAATTTCTGCCAAATCGTATCCATAGACAATGTACTGTGTGATATTTGAGCATAGACAATGTACTGTGTGATATTTGAGCATAGACAATGTACTGTGTGATATTTGAGCATAGACAATGTACTGTGTGATATTTGAGTATAGACAATGTACTGTGTGATATTTGAGCATAGACAATGTACTGTGTGATATTTGAGTATAGACAGTGTACTGTGTGATATTTGAGTATAGACAATGTACTGTGTGATATTTGAGCATGGACAATGTACTGTGTGATATTTGAGCATAGACAATGTACTGTGTGATATTTGAGCATAGACAATGTACTGTGTGATATTTGAGCATAGACAATGTACTGTGTGATATTTGAGCATAGACAATGTACTGTGTGATATTTGAGTATGGACAATGTACTGTGTGATATTTGAGCATGGACAATGTACTGTGTGATATTTGAGCATAGACAATGTACTGTGTGATATTTGAGCATAGACAATGTACTGTGTGATATTTGAGTATAGACAATGTACTGTGTGATATTTGAGTATGGACAATGTACTGTGTGATATTTGAGCATAGACAATGTACTGTGTGATATTTGAGTATAGACAATGTACTGTGTGATATTTGAGTATGGACAATGTACTGTGTGATATTTGAGTATAGACAATGTACTGTGTGATATTTGAGTATAGACAATGTACTGTGTGATATTTGAGTATAGACAATGTACTGTACGATATTTGAGCATAGACAATGTACTGTGTGATATTTGAGTATGGACAATGTACTGTGTGATATTTGAGCATAGACAATGTACTGTGTGATATTTGAGCATAGACAATGTACTGTGTGATATTTGAGCATAGACAATGTACTGTGTGATATTTGAGCATAGACAATGTACTGTGTGATATTTGAGTATAGACAATGTACTGTGCGATATTTGAGTATGGACAATGTGCTGTGTGATATTTGAGCATAGACAATGTACTGTGTGATATTTGAGCATAGACAATGTACTGTGTGATATTTGAGTATGGACAATGTACTGTGTGATATTTGAGCATAGACAATGTACTGTGTGATATTTGAGCATAGACAATGTACTGTGTGATATTTGAGCATAGACAATGTACTGTGTGATATTTGAGCATAGACAATGTACTGTGTGATATTTGAGCATAGACAATGTACTGTGTGATATTTGAGCATAGACAATGTACTGTGTGATATTTGAGCATAGACAATGTACTGTGTGATATTTGAGCATAGACAATGTACTGTGTGATATTTGAGCATAGACAATGTACTGTGTGATATTTGAGTATGGACAACGTACTACTGTTACTTTAAATCCCCATCCCGGGGCCGCAATATAGTCCTGCTATAAATATGATCTAATGGCTGAACTCGGTTTCCGGGACCTCTCCACGGGTGATCCTCATTCGCATGGTGGCGCTTTGTGTCATCGGGTGTTTATCGATTGTGTGATATCCTAGTAGGGTAAAATTTACAACAACTACTACGGTGCCTTGAAGCCAGTACCATTGCATTTCAATTCCCAGGATAACGAATCTTTCAGCGACATAGAGGTGGCAGCCATTAAATCTAGCCACTCCAGCGACAGAGTCCGCAAAGTCTCTTGGCAATCGATATATTTTTACTTTGGGAACACTTACTCATAGAGAATTAAATTGTCAACTGTTTCATCAAAACTTTTTGAGTTATGGCCCTTGACATACCACTGCTATTTATATTCGCGGTCCCACGTCTCCTTAAGCTACTGGCAAGTGATCAACATGGCTTCTTCTGAATACTCAGTTAAGTGATTTTGTGTATTCGTGTGGTTTTGCTTGATTTATATACGTGCCGATGAAGGCTTTGTAGCCGCAACGTTCACGTTTGGTTTGCTATATTGTGAAGCCCGCTGATCTACTTTTCTTTCGGGTTTATATCTTTCCGTGATATAATTAAACAATCCGCGAGGTCACCGTAGAACCAGAAATAAATACTGTGATAATGAATATCATGAACGATGATCGTCCCGTTCAGACACTGGACTCCATGTTCCTGGGCAAACCTCCCGTTCCGACACTGGACCCCATGGTAATGGGTAGGTAACCGTCCCGTTCAGACACTGGACCCCATGGTAATGGGTAACCGTCCCGTTCAGACACTGGACCCCATGGTAATGGGTAACAGTCCCGTTCAGACACTGGACCCCATGGTAATGGGTAACCGTCCCGTTCAGACACTGGACCCCATGGTAATAGGTAACCGTCCCGTTCAGACACTGGACCCCATGGTAATGGGTAACCGTCCCGTTCAGACACTGGACCCCATGGTAATAGGTAACCGTCCTGTTCAGACACTGGACCCCATGGTAATAGGTAACCGTCCCGTTCAGACACTGGGCCCCATGGTAATGGGTAACCATCCCGTTCAGGCACTGGACCCCATGGTAATGGGTAACCGTCCCGTTCAGACACTGGATTCCATGTTACTGGGCAAAAGTCCCGTTCAGACACTGGATTCCATGTTCCTGGGCAAACGCCCCGTTCTGACACTGGATTCCATGTTACTGGACAAACGTCCCGTTCAGACACTGGATTCCATTTTACTGGGCAAAGGTCCCGTTCAGACACTGGATCCCATGTTACTGGGCAAACGTCCCGTTCAGACACTGGATTCCATGTTCCTGGGCAAACGCCCCGTTCTGACACTAGATTCCATGTTACTGGGCAAACGTCCCGTTCAGACACTGGATTCCATGTTCCTGGGCAAACGCCCCGTTCTGACACTAGATTCCATGTTACTGGGCAAACGTCCCGTTCAGACACTGGATTCCATGTTCCTGGGCAAACGTCCCGTTTAGACACTTGATTCCATATTCCTGGGCAAACGTCCCGTTCTGACACTGGACTCCATGTTACTAGGCAAACGTCCCGTTCAGACACTGGACTTCATGTTCCTGGGCAAACGTCCAGTTCAGACATTGGACTCCATGTTCCTCAGCAACCGTCCCGTTTCGACACTGGACCCCATGTTACTCGGCAACCGTCCCGTTCCGACACGGGATTCCATGTTCCTGTGCAAACGTCGCGTTCAGACACTGGACTCCGTGTTACTTGGCAAACGTCCAGTTCAGACACTGGATTCCATGTTCCTGGGCAAACGTCCCGTTCTGACACTGGACTCCATGTTACTAGACAAACGTCCCGTTCTGACACTAGATTCCATGTTACTGGGCAAACGTCCCGTTCAGACACTGGATTCCATGTTCCTGGGCAAACGTCCCGTTCAGACACTGGATTCCATGTTCCTGGGCAAACGTCCCGTTCTGACACTGGACTCCATGTTACTAGGCAAACGTCCCGTTCAGACACTGGACTTCATGTTCCTGGGCAAACGTCCAGTTCAGACATTGGACTCCATGTTCCTCAGCAACCGTCCCGTTTCGACACTGGACCCCATGTTACTCGGCAACCGTTCCGTTCCGACACGGGATTCCATGTTCCTGTGCAAACGTCGCGTTCAGACACTGGACTCCGTGTTACTGGGCAAACGTCCTGTTCTGACACTGGACTCCATGTTACCCAAGAAACGTACCGTTCCGACACTGGACTCCATGTTAATGGGTAACCGCAGTGACCTAATGTATATACATGTCTTACACGGATGAACTAGGTTTCTGTGATTTGTTCCGTTTCATTCTCAACTATTAGGTGTTAATCATACGGACACAAATCCTAGAGGAAAAAAATGACATAAACTTGATCTCTAATGTAATGGAAAGGTGTTTGTGTGTGTGTGTGTGTGTGTGTGTGTGTGTGTGTGTGCGCGCGCGATCGTGCATGTAATCATAGATAAATGGAACAGGCAGGATAGAAGGCTTCAGACATTCATGATGAGCAACACCACGCAACACAGACAGTCTGAAACAAGAAGATATACATTTGCAGCGATGTTGACTTTGCTATCAGGAATGCCTACGTCTCCGCCAAGCTTGCTCTCTTGACACATTTGCACTCCCTGTGGTGATACAGATCCTAGCAACCCACCGAAGCGGATTGGCTTCATACTCTGATCTAATCCTTTAATTACGGTGTAGAAATAGCGATTCCATGTTCCAGATCCTTGAATTCCTTTCACGTTCCAGGGTCTTTGCCAGTTTAAATCCACCCGATTTCGAGACTTAGATTTGTTTCTTAACAAAATAGGGTTTTACAAAAGTGAGGTTGTCGGCGGCTCCACGATTCAACTGCAAACAGGATGATCAGTTTATCTGCCCTTGTTTGTTAGCTGCTCCAACCAGGAGGACCAGTTTGTTTGTTCTTGTTTGCTTTCTACCTTAACCAGAATTATCAGTTTGTCCTGCCCGGCTCTATAGCGTAGTTGGCTAAACCGGATTGTGCGGTGAGCGGGTGACGAACTCCTTGTGGTCCGGGTTCACTCCTTGGGTAGGCAGAAAAGCCGCATTTTCTCCCAGACTTACGGTATTTACAAGGCCGAAAGGTTGCGATATCCATAATACCAAGCCTAAGGGTTAACAACTCATGGTTTCTGGATACTAAAACAAACAACATCAGTTTGTCCTTGTCTGTTTTCTACCCCAACCAGGCGGACCAGTTTTGTCTGTCCTTGTTTGTTCTCTACATTTTGACATCTTGTCTAGCTCCCACGGGAGGTCCTCCTGGTAGGTAAGCTAACGCCAGCATAGCTCTCATGGTCGCTGACATGCTCAAACTCCCCGGCCATGACCAGGTGAAGACACCTCCAAGGAAAGTGAAATTGACTGCAGCAGCAGACTAAGAGGAGAAATAAAATATCAAACACTACTGGAGTTAATGTATACTATGCCCCCAACACGTGTGCAAACAAACGCTCTGTCTGCTAGCACCAAGATCACAGTATGTGTTCTTCGTTCGTCGAACGCTCTGTCTGCTAGCACCAAGATCACAGTATCTGTTCTTCGTTCATCCAACGCTCTGTCTGCTAGCACCAAGATCACAGTATGTGTTCTTCGTTCATCCAACGCTCTGTCTGCTAGCACCAAGATCACAGTATGTGTTCTTCGTTCGTCCAACGCTCTGTCTGCTAGCACCAAGATCACAGTATGTGTTCTTTGTTCATCCAACTCTCTGTCTGCTAGCACCAAGATCACAGTATGTGTT